CCCTCCTCCCCCTCTCCCATGTCCCCCCGGAACTGTCAGTCCCGTTGTTTTCTCCTCCAGATTGTTCATCCAGCCTGTCCTATCCAGACAGGCCTGCAAGAGTTAAATTTTATATGTCAAATAAACATAGAGTGATATTTCTTTAAAGAGACAAACATGTTAGTGAAGTACTAGGTTTGCAAAGGCTGCTATTCTACATTGGATGCCTTCCCCAAGTGTCATTAAAGATTCTCCAAAGTAGTGTTGTACTCTGGGAAATACCCTGTCTATAAAAGAATCTTAGACTGTAGAAAAAGTGATATTTTTAAGATCAGTTCATATATGTGAAATGAGTAATGTTAGATGGGGTTAATTAGATACACTAAACTGGCCACCTCACTAATATGTCCCAGGCTGTGTAAACAACCTGGCCAGAAAGTCTGATGCCTGGCTCAAATGAAGCATTTTTAGAGTAAGACATTGTTTCCATCTTTCCCACAGCCAGCATCTTAAGAGACCCTTGTCTCTCCCTGGAGCTCCTGTGTAGCCTCCTTACTGGTGTCCCTGGCCCAGCCTCTCACACAATCCCCAGACAGGCTTCCTTCACTCCAGCCTGCTTGTCTGACATGAATCAATCAGCAATTCCTTATGAACCCAGAAGAGAAACAGAATTTTTGTAATCAACTCCAGTTTACATTATAATGGGAAGAATATTAAGTTTTCTTCTGAATTTTCTATCTTCAAAGGACTGGTGTTTTTTATAGGGTTTAAGGAGCCTAGTGGTGGCTTAGTGGTTACCAGTTGGGCTACAATTGGCAAAGTCAGCAGTTCAAAACCATCCATTGCTCTGGGGGAGAAAGCCAGGATTGTCTACTCCTGTAAAGAGTTACAGTTTCAGAAACTCACAGGGGTCACTGTGAGTTGGCATGAACTCAGTGGCAGTGATATTGGTTTCGAGATTTTTAAGGTAAGGGCTCTGACGAATGCATAATGCCATGTGTCCATTATGATGTCATGCACAATAGTCTCACTTCAGAAAGTGTGTGGAAAAGACCATTATCTTTCATTGAATTTTATTCATATTGCCCTGTGCGGTATATGTTCACCCTTCTTAACTGCCGCTAGAGTTTTGCTTTATGGAAT